CCATAAATACCATACGAAAATTATGTCAGTTTGTTGTGAATCATTGGGTCCCACCTTCCCTTTACTGACAGGGTTATTCATCTGATGAAATTATTCGACCTCTAAATTGGCAGGATGGGACCATCTCCACTAGCAGTCAGGAGATCTGACCTCTTTGCTGCCAATATGCAAGTTCCTAATCCAGCAAGGGAACCTCCTTTGCTACCAGCAAGAGAACCTCCTTTGCTACCAGCAAGAGAACCTCCTTTGCTACCAGCAAGAGAACCTCCTTTGCTACCAGCAAGGGAACCTCCTTTGCTACCAGCAAGGGAACCTCCTTTGCTACCAGCAAGAGAACCTCCTTTGCTACCAGCAAGGGAACCTCCTTTGCTACCAGCAAGAAGTGTGTCAAAATTATCAGTAATGACAATAAGGTAAGATGAAGTTTATCTTCGTAAATCACTGGACCAAGAAAAGGCTGAGGGCCCAGATAAGGTGACCCCTAGATTGCTGAATAGAGGTGCAGACCAACTAGCATCACCTCTGACTTGCATCTTTCAGCACTGCCTAGCATGGTGTAGAAAAAGGCAAATGTGGTTCCTGTTCACAAAAAGAAGAGTGGAGTAGAAAAAAGCAGCTATGTAGTGACCAGTGTCACTTCTATGAATAACTAGCAAGACTTTAGACAATAAGGAGCCATGTTGTAACTCTTGCAAACAAGGTGGCCAGGAAGCTTACAGCACTTCGACATACCTTATGTCTGCTTGATAGTAGAGGTTGCAAGTTTCTGTATGAGGCACATGTACGCTCACACCTTGAGTATGCTCCAGTTTCTTGGGTTGTCTGCCCCCTGTCTCATCTGCAACTTTTGAGAGAATAGAAAACAGTGCAAGATGACTCATCTTTCACATGAATCTGGCCTGGACAGATCTGTCATATCAGCAGAGCATTTGGCACCGATGGGATGTGGGTGGCTTTACTCTTATATACAAGGTCAATGTTGTCAAAGTACCACACTTGGCTCCACTCTGAGGGTAGTGAGAAGTGAGCTTCTGTACAACAAGACATGCAGCAAACAGAAACTACACTCACTTCATCTGTGATCATTTATTCCCAGGATGACTCAAGTCTGGAACATATTTGTACAGCATAACAACAACAATAAAATAAAGTTACTTGACCAAATGAAATCACTGGCCCACAGATAGCTCCAAGTTAATCCTGTTTCCTATGTGTATATTTCATAATAAAAGGGCTTTCAGATGAGCTGATGTAGGTAACAGCTTTTAGTTTGTAAATAAAGTTAGGAACTCTTCAGCTAACCTGTGAAAAAATAAGAGAAAATGAGAGAGAGAGAGAAGATTGAAGATAATTCTACTGTAAGGTATTTAGAAGTGACTGAAGGTCTGGGTAATGTTGGTTGTTGCATTACTAGTGAGTTATCGTAACCTTATTTAAGTAACCCTGCATCTTCAATTCTGTGTTGTCATGTGCACCTGCTGCTGGATATCAATAATGTGCTGTCGTGTGCACCTGCTGTTGGATATCAATACTGTGTTGTGTGCACCTGCTGTTGGATATCAGTACTCTGTTGTGTGCACCTGCTGTTGGATATCAATACTGTGTTGTCATGTGCACCTGTTGCTGGATATCAATACTGTGTTGTCATGTGCATTAGCTGTTGGATATCAATACTGTGTTGTCATGTGCACCTGCTGCTGGATATCAATACTGTGTTGTCATGTGCACCTGCTGCTGGATATCAATACTGTGTTGTCATGTGCACCTGCTGTTGGATATCAATACCATGTTGTTGTGTGCACCTGCTGCTGGTTATCAATACTGTGTTGTCATATGCACCTGCTGTTTGATATCAATACTGTGTTGTTGTGTGCACCTGCTGCTCGATATCAATACTGTGTTGTCATGTGCACCTGCTGCTGGATATCAATACTGCGTTGTCATGTGCACCTGCTGCTGGATATCAATACTGTGTTGTCATGTGCACCTGCTGCTGGATATCAATACTGTGTTGTCATGTGCACCTGCTGTTGAATATCAATACTGTGTTGTCATGTGCACCTGCTACTGGATATCAATACTGTGTTGTCATGTGCACCTGCTGTTGAATATCAATACTGTGTTGTCATGTGCACCTGCTGTTGGATATCAATACTGTGTTGTCATGTGCACCTGCTGTTGAATATCAATACTGTGTTGTCATGTGCACCTGCTACTGGATATAAATACTGTGTTGTCATGTGCACCTGCTGCTGGATATCAATACTGTGTTGTCATGTGCACCTGCTGTTGGATATCAATACCGTGTTGTTGTGTGCACCTGCTGCTGGTTATCAATACTGTGTTGTCATATGCACCTGCTGTTGGATATGAATACCGTGTTGTTGTGTGCACCTGCTGCTGGATATCAATACTGTGTTGTCATGTGCACCTGCTGCTGGATATCAATACTGTGTTGTCATGTGCACCTGCTGCTGGATATCAATACTGTGTTGTTGTGTGCACCTGCTGCTGGATATCAATACTGTTGTCATGTGCATTTGCTGCTGGATATCAATACTGTGTTATCGTGTGCACTTGCTGTTGGATATGAATACAGTGGACCCCCGCATAACAATATTATTTCAATCAGAAGTCTGTTTGGGTGCCGTTATAGACCGAATTTGTTCCCATAAGGATATTGTGGAATTAGATTAGTCCGTTTCAGACCCCCAAAAATACACCTACAAAAGCACTTACAAAAATCACTTACATAATTGGTCGAGTTGGGAGCTGATCGTTTATGCGGGGGTCCACTGTACTGTGTTGCCATGTGCACTGGCTGCTGGATATCAATACTGTGTTGTCATGTGCACCTACTGCTGGATATCAATATTGTGTTGTCGTGTGCACCTGCTGCTGGATATCAATACTGTGTTGTCATGTGCACCTGCTGCTGGATATCAATATTGTGTTGTTGTGTGCACCTGCTGCTGGATATCAATACTGTGTTGTCGTATGCACCTACTGTTGGATATCAATACTGGGTTGTTGTGTGCACCTGCTGTTGGATATGAATACTGTGTTATCATGTGCACCTGCTGCTGGATATCAATACTGTGTTGTCTTGTGCACCTGCTGCTGGATATCAATACTGTGTTGTCATGTGCACCTGCTGCTGGATATCAATACTGTGTTGCCATGTGCACCTGCTGATGGATATCAATACTGTGTTGTCATGTGCACCTGCTGCTGGATATCAATACTGTGTTGTCATGTGCACCTGCTGCTTGATATCAATACTGTGTTGTCATGTGCACCTGCTGTTGGATATCAATACCGTGTTGTTGTGTGCACCTGCTGCTGGTTATCAATACTGTGTTGTCGTATGCACCTGCTGTTGGATATGAATACCGTGTTGTTGTGTGCACCTGCTGCTGGATATCAATACTGTGTTGTCATGTGCACCTGCTGCTGGATATTAATACTGTGTTGTTGTGTGCACCTGCTGCTGGATATCAATACTGTGTTGTCATGTGCATTTGCTGCTGGATATCAATACTGTGTTATCGTGTGCACTTGCTGTTGGATATGAATACAGTGGACCCCCGCATAACGATATTATTTCAATCCAGAAGTCTGTTTGGGTGCTGTTATAGACCGAATTTGTTCCCATAAGAGATATTGTGAATTAGATTAGTCCGTTTCAGACCCCCAAAAATACACCTACAAAAGCACTTACAAAAATACACTTACATAATTGGTCGAGTTGGGAGCTGATCGTTTTGCGGGGGTCCACTGTACTGTGTTGCCATGTGCACTGGCTGCTGGATATCAATACTGTGTTGTCATGTGCACCTACTGCTGGGTATCAATATTGTGTTGTCGTGTGCACCTGCTGCTGGATATCAATACTGTGTTGTCATGTGCACCTGCTGCTGGATATCAATATTGTGTTGTCGTGTGCACTTGCTGCTGGATATCAATACTGTGTTGTCGTGTGCACCTGCTGCTGGATATCAATACTGTGTTGTTGTGTGCACCTGCTGCTGGATATCAATACTGTGTTGTCATGTGCACCTGCTGCTGGATATCAGTATTGTGTTGTCATGTGCACCTGCTGCTGGATATCAATATTGTGTTGTCATGTGCACCTGCTGCTGGATATCAATACTGTGTTGTTGTGTGCACCTGCTGTTGGATATCAATACTGTGTTGTTGTGTGCACCTGCTGTTGGATATCAATACTATGTTGTTGTGTGCACCTGCTGTTGAATATCAATACTGTGTTGTCATGTGCACCTGCTGCTGGATATCAATACTGTGTTGTCATGTGCACCTGCTGTTGGATATCAATACTATGTTGTCGTATGCATCTGCTGTTGGATATCAATACACATACTATGTTGTCATGTGCATCTGCTGTTGGATATCAATACTATGTTGTCGTGTGCATCTGCTTCTGGATATCAATAATGTGTTGTCGTGTTCACTTGCTGCTGGATATCAAGTGCTCTTAAAGCAAGTGTTTCAAGTTTGGAATAAGTGAAACTTAGAACTTGCTTCACAAGCTGTCTCTTTGCTCCAACTACAGCTGTGTCTCTCTGCTCCAACTACAGCTGTATCTCTCTGTTCCAACTACAGCTGTGTCTCTCTGCTCCAACTACAACTGTGTCTCTCTGCTCCAACTACAGCTGTGTCTCTCTGCTCCAACTTAAGCTGTGTCTCTCTTCTCCAACTTAAGTTGCCTCTCTCTGCTCCAACTTAAGCTGTGTCTTCTCCAACTTAAGCTTGTCTCCACTCCAATTGCAGCTGTGTGTCTGCTCGGACTTAAGCTTTGTTTATGTTGGCTTTATTTTTAGTATAATATTGACAATAACTGTTTATTAGTCTTGTCATCAAACTACATTGTTGTTTAGTACCAGAGTCTTATACCACATCTCTTATCTTAGTATTGAAACTGTTATATTACGCTCCTTTAAAGTAACAGTGACCATATTATTATTGTCTTGATTGGACAGATCAGTGTCACCAAGTGGAGGAGAGTTTGTACGGAGTACCTCCCACTCAAGCTTTGACTCCAGGTCCTTGCCCCGGAGGACACCCTCAGCACCTGCCACTCAGAAGAGGACGACTGCCATGGAGGAGGATAATAATCAGGTGAGAGACAGAGAGAGAGAGAATAATCAGGTGAGAGAGCAATAATCAGGCAAGAGAGATAATCAGGTGCAAGATAGATAATCATGAGGTGAGAAAGATAATAATCAGGTAAGAGAGAGAGAATAATCAAATGAGAGAAATGATAATCATGTGAGAGATAGAATAATCAGATGTGAGAGAGATAACAGTCAGCTGAGAAAGATAGTCAGATGAGAGAGATAATAATCAGGTGAGAGAGATAATCAGATGAGAAATATAATCAAATGAGAGATATAATAATCAGACGAGATTTAATAATTAGTTGAAAAGATAATCAGATGAAAGATATAATAATCAAATGAGATTTAATAATTAGGTGAAAAGATAATCAAATGAGAAAAATAATAGTCAGCTAAGAGAGAGAGAGAGATAATAATCAGGTGGTAGAGATAATAGTGATTAGAGAGATAATAATCAGATGAGAGAGATAATAATCAGGTGAGAGAGATAATAATGATGAGAGAAATAATAATCAGGTGAGAGAAATAATCAGGTAAGAGATAATCTGATGAGAGGTAATAATCAGATGAGAGAGAATAATCAGATGAGAGATTATACCATCAAATTATTGTTCAGTAAGCTTGAGCTCAGAAGGTAGATTATAATATAATTAGTTACCTGTAAAATAATAAATTACCTTGGTTGTTGATAATTCTATGCTGGTTCTGTCAGGCTTTACACCTCCTAACATTTCCTGACAATTTTTTATTTAATTTTTAAAAGAGCATTAAGACAAAATTGTGTTCCCAGATCGTGTGTTATTTGAAGGTAGAATGTATATGATTTTTCTTGTGTGTGGTGTTTGTTTATTTGTTTGCAAGCTAATTGTTATACTATGATGGTGTTTTTATAACATTTGTTTATTGAGCAGAGTGAACGAGGGTGGGAACTGAGTGCTGGTGGTCCTCACCTGCAACAGTCATTCAGTGAGGAAGGTGGAGAACTCTCTGATGGTGAAGGTGAAGATGCTGAGTCATTATTCTCACACATGGATATTCTCTCTCCGTCACATCACACCGATGCTCAGACTCTGGCACTTATGTTACAGGAGCAGCTCGATGCTATTAATAATGAAATAAGGTAAGTCTTTATAACTGCTAGTATATATAATACCTGTAATTCCTCCTCCTTTTTATTGTAGTCTCTTTTAACTTTATTTTACACGTATTGTTCTTAAAATTATCATAGAAAAGATACCATCAGTTCTCCCTTTGTAGACAGCTTTAATTGTGGCTTATATCATTTGGCTTTGCCTCTTGCCCTTTGTGGAATGGTTATCCTCCAGCCAACTCTCAGAGGATGAATAAGATACAGTACAAAGTGTGTGCACGTTCCTTTGCATATTTGATCCCTCCACACTGGTCCGAGAGCGTAAACTTCAACTCACTGCAAAAGCTGTCATAAGAAATCCAGTAAATAACTCCTTGTTTTCTTTTATTGGCTGACATTATTCCCAGAATCATTCTTCAGAGAAACTTCACTCTCAAGCACAGTGCCTTTGTCAAATTAAATTCTTTGAAAGTGATATTAATGTATTTTAGATTTTCTTAATGCCACTCTATTTTAGTTTATTATTTGTAAAGTAATGCAGATAATGAGCATGAGATTAAGAATGCAAGAGTTTTAGTTGCTACATTCAGTAGGTGAGTGTATGTTAGTGTTGCTAGGTTCAGTATGTGAGTGTATGTTAGTGTTGCTAGGTTCAGTAGGTGAGTGTATGTTAGTGTTGCTAGGTTCAGTAGGTGAGTGTATGTTAGTGTTGCTAGGTTCAGTAGGTGAGTGTATGTTAGTGTTGCTAGGTTCAGTAGGTGAGTGTATGTTAGTGTTGCTAGGTTCAGTAGGTGAGTGTATGTTAGTGTTGCTAGGTTCAGTAGGTGAGTGTATGTTAGTGTTGCTAGGTTCAGTAGGTGAGTGTATGTTAGTGTTGCTAGGTTCAGTAGGTGAGTGTATGTTAGTGTTGCTAGGTTCAGTAGTGAGTGTATGTTAGTGTTGCTAGGTTCAGTAGGTGAGTGTATGTTAGTGTTGCTAGGTTCAGTAGGTGAGTGTATGTTAGTGTTGCTAGTTCAGTATGTGTATGTTATGTTGCTAGGTTCAGTAGTGAGTGTATGTTAGTGTTGCTAGGTTCAGTAGACTGAGTGTATGTTAGTGTTGCTAGGTTCAGTAGGTGAGTGTATGTTAGTGTTGCTAGGTTCAGTAGAGTGAGTGTATTGTTAGTGTTGCTAGGTTCAGTAGATGAGTGTATGTTAGTGTTGCTAGGTTCAGTATGTGAGTGTATGTTAGTGTTGCTAGGTTCAGTAGGTGAGTGTATGTTAGTGTTGCTAGGTTCAGTAGATGAGTGTATGTTAGTGTTGCTAGGTTCAGTAGATGAGTGTATGTTAGTGTTGCTAGGTTCAGTAGATGAGTGTATGTTAGTGTTGCTAGGTTCAGTAGATAAGTGTATGTTAGTGTTGCTAGGTTCAGTAGATGAGTGTATGTTAGTGTTGCTAGGTTCAGTAGATGAGTGTATGTTAGTGTTGCAAGGTTCAGTAGGTGAGTGTATGTCATTGTTAGTGGTGACTGATATAATCTGATCTTCTCTGACCACTAAGGGGATAACTTCAATGTTTAACTTCTACTGAGTGATACACCATGTGACTGCTGTGTAGGCGTGCACCAGACTTGATACAAAATCAGTATTCTTTTTACTCCTAATATTTTTAGTAGCATTTCTTAAATATTATTAAGAATCACTTTACAAAACATATTTAGAACCCCACCTTCCAAGTTTCTGATGTTGATAATAGAAGTACCTGGAGAGTTTGAATCTTTTTATATCCAATTGTTGGTGGAGCAAGAGATTTTGAATCTTTTATGTTTGTTCATATTGAGCTTTGCACAGAGGTAGTATTGTAACCAATCAGGTTGACCTCCACTGTAACCAAGCTCAACATCTCTTGCAAAGCTCAATGTCATCTGCAATATTAGTATGGGAAAAGTTTTCATTGATGCACCTTTGGTGCTGGATTGCATTCTACAGAATGTAATTAAATTATACCCCACCTGCTGGTGGTAACCTCACAGACACCTGCTGGTGGTAACCTCACAGACACCTGTTGGTAGTAACCTCACAGACACCTGCTGGTGGTAGCCTCATAGACGCCTTCTGATGGTAACCTCACAGACACCTGCTAGTCGTAACCTCACAGACACCTGCTGGTGGTAGCCTCACAGACAACTGCTGGTGGTAATTTCACAGACACGCCCTGCTTTGTTTTCGCTAGTACACAAACATGTCTGTCTGTCTATTTGTCTGTCTATCAAGCTCGCTGTCTATCTGTCTATCCGTCTAGCTCTCTGTATCAGAGAGCCACAAGACTGCATCATCACGTTTACTCACATCTTCAAGCAGAGTATAGCACTTTGTCTGGATTTTTTTAGTTATCCTGGGTAATTTATACTACGTATACTTGTATTTATGTGTACCTGTGAGACAGAGATAGACAGAGACAGATTGAAAGAGACAGACAGATAGACAGAGACTGATAGAGACAGAGAGACAGAGACAGATAGACAGACAGATAGACAGAGAAAGAGACAGACTGTTACAAAAAACACAATATCTAGTAATGAAAGAGATCTCCAGTGAATACTAGAAAGGACTGCCCTTCTAGCACCCAGCCTGTTACTGGGTTTTTGTAACAAGTAGTCAGTATCCTGGTCCAATTATCCATTAGAATTTGGTAAGATTCAATAGTGCTTCAGGATTACAACTGGTAGGCTACTAACTAAAGAAATTAAAATTTAATAAGTTTATTAATAACAATAAAGTTGTCTAGGCATATAATATCAAAGTAAATTAAAGTAATCAATTGAATATAATATAGGATACAAGTTGCTACACTCCTCTCGTGTACAGTAGTATTGTGCTGAAGGCACATATCACATCTTTATGGCTTTTAAGTACCGTCTGGTACATTGTTAGCATTTAATAACATAATATAAATATATACAAGTAAGTTTGTGTGTATGTGTGCAAGTGCTCTAAGTAGTTCGCTATGTCTCAAGACTCGACTAGACTTAACCAGTGACTGACTAAAAGTCCTCACATAAACTAACTTCTTGACCAACCTGGCAATCAGAACAGCTTGCTTGAACAATAAAATGACTGTTAAGCCGAACAGCAATATAACCAGCAAAAGTGACACAGAATCAGGAACAAGGAGATAATATAACAACACTAAGTAGGGGCCATCTGCAGATCCTTCGCAAAAGTCACAAAACTCCCATACTACTGAATCTAAGTTCAGCATTAGAAAATCCCTGACTGTGACAGTACACAGATACCAGTACAAATTAGGTCAGAAGCTACAGCTCAGGACCTGAGTTTCTCAGAATGTCTATGTGACACACAACCTCAGTACAACATCGAAAATCACTAAGTCTAGGCTATGTTCTGTGAACAGAGTTATACAGAACCAACAACAAGAAAGCGACAGAGACGATCTTCCAACAAGGACCCGCAATGGAGAGCTGCAGAGGGATGTCTTATTGGAAGCAACGAAAAACAGACGAGCGAGCACAGGCCAGGCAGTCTCTCCTCCAGGTGAGGTGTGATCACCCCACCCTGATCACGTGACTCTCTGTGGACTGCTGCTGCCCAGCAACACAAAGAAGCCGGCAGCAAAACAAGCAGAGCGATAGTTAGACAAGGCCGTCAGCTACCTAACACTCACGAACTATGAGCACTAAATAATATATAAATGTTACATCCTACCTAATAATATAACTAAGTCAAATAATAATATAAAGCAATATATTTACGATTTAGCTAATATCGCAAATATAAGCAATATAAAATTATATGAACAGGTAATATACATAATATACATTGTGACCCATTCGGGTGTCGCAATACCCCCCAGCACGACAAACGGTTGCACTAGGAGTTGCGTTAGTGTCTTTCACATTACAGTGGACCCCCGCATACCGATTTTAATCCGTGCAAGTGGGGTAATTGTTATGCGAAATAATCGGTATGTGAATGAATTTTCCCCATAAGAAATAATGGAAATAAAATTAATCCGTGCAAGACACCCAAAAGTATGAAAAAAATTTTTTTTTACCACATGAAATGTTAATTTTAGTACACACAAACTGAAAAAGGCATGCACAATTACATGACACTTACTTTTATTGAAGATCTGGTGATGATTGATGGGATGGGAGGAGGGGAGAGAGAGTGTTAGTGTTTAGAAGGGGAATCCCCTTCCATTAAGACTTGAGGTGTCGAGTCCTTTTCTGGGGTTACTTCCCTTCTTCTTTTAATGCCACTAGGACCAGCTTCAGAGTCACTGGACTTCTTTCGCACAACATATCTGTCCATAGTGGCCTGTACCTCTCGTTCCTTTATGACTTCCCTAAAGTGTTTCACAACATTGTCAGTGTAATAATCACCAGCACGGCTTGCAATAGCTGTGTGAGAGTGATTTTCATCAAAAAAGGTTTGCACTTCAAGCCACTTTGCACACATTTCCTTAATCTTTGTAGTAGGCAACTTCTTCAATTTCTCTCCTCCCCTCCTCTGAACCAGTTTTTCTCAGGTCTGGCCTCTTGCTCTTGAAGTTGATCTATCAGCTCATCAGTGGTTAGTTCTTCATTGTCCTCCTCCACCAACTCTTCCACATCCTCCCCACTAACCTCCAACCCCAAGGACTTTCCCAATGCCACAATGGATTCCTCATCTGGCATAATCCTCTCAGGGTTAGCCTCAAACCCTTCAAAATCCCTTTTGTCTACACATTCTGGCCACAGTTTCTTCCAAGCAGAGTTCAAGGTCTTCTTAGTCACTCCTCCCAAGCCTTACCTATAAGGTTTACACAATTGAGGATATTAAAGTGCTCTCTCCAAAACTCTCTTAGAGTCAGTTGAGTTTCTGAGGTCACTACAAAGCACCTTTCAAACAGAGCTTTTGTGTACAGTTTTTTGAAGTTTGCAATAACCTGCTGGTCCATGGGCTGCAGGAGAGGAGTGGTATTAGGAGGCAAAAACTTGATGTTAATGAATTTCATGTCCCCATAAAGTCGCTCTGCCACGTCTGTAGG